TTCTGAGAGTTACCTCAAAGTTCCCCGAACTTTGAGGTAACTCTCAGAGAGGCTGATTCCATCAACACATTTAAAACATCAGAGTACTAGGAGTGCCTTATTGCGTTGGAGGATGGTGTCTCCCTTAGTGCTTTTGGTGTGAATTGTAGAGGCTAGATAAGAAACCCTTTGTTATGAGTTTGGGCTAACAAGCAGGACTGAGGCAACTGCATAACATATTGTAGATCATTGTTTAGGGTGCCATGCACAACCTATGACTAAGCCAAGTTCTCTAATAACTTAAAACATGACTAAAGTATCTCAAAATAGTAAACATAAAAAACCATAATCACCGCCTAATTGTTTCAATTTTGAATATGAATATTCTTCAAAATAACTTTTTATCAGTTGAACTTTACCTACTGCAAAATTTACCAGACTTACTTGCAATAGCCAAGCTTATTACCAACAATACCAGCAAGGCTATTGCTTATGGCAAATAACTTTTAAATAAAGTCAGGCAAGCTGGACTTCTCCATAAGGTCGCTTTAAATGTTGTATCTATGTTTTTGACATTATTAAATCATTCCTTTATAACCGCATTATTAAACCCTTCCTTGAAGTCTTACACTTTTCTTCATTTCCAGTAACTTCTGGGGTACTACAAGGTTCTATCCTTGTCCTGTATTGTTTATCAATTTTATTAATGATCTTCTTAATAATCTTACATCATATTGTTGTTAAATCTAAAGTTGTGTAGTGGCTGACTACACAACTTTTAACTCCTGTCTTGACAAAAAGTCATCACTTTTTGATCACTTAAAACAGACAATCTTTAATCTGATCTCTTTTCTGTAATAGCCTGGGACTTGCAGTGGCTTGTAAACTTAAACTCCAGCAAAACTCAGTTATTTACTATAAACAATTATCACAATATTGTTGATATTCTTATTAATGATAATACTATTACTGAGTCCGTTACTAAAAGTCTTCTTGATTATTGTTCACTACAAACTTTTCATGGAAATCATTTTTCATGGAAATCATACAATTCATTGCTAAGTTAGCATGTGTTAAGGTTGTCTCTCTTTATTGTTCTCGCCATTTTCTTAGACCTAACTCCCCTACCTCTACAAACCTCTTATTCTCTTCTTGACGGAATTAAAAAAGATATTGTAAATATAGTTAGACCTAAAACTATGATTTTGTAAAAATGCTTTATAACCATTAAAGCGAGGCCAACATGTAGAACTTCCTACTTGACAGATTTTATTTTCCCAAATAAAATAACAGTCTGAAAAACATGCAATAAAATTTTTAACTTTATTGATTTAAATTTTTGCAATTAGAATATCATCATTACAAAGTATACTTAAAAGAATTTCACCAGCTTCTTTAGATGATACACTAGGATTTGTCATTAAGTTTATAGATAAACAATAGATGTATTTTATAAGAGCTACAATAAAGTGCTTCTTGGGAAAAGCAGTTCAACTCAGTAGAGACTTTCCATTTATTCCTTGTGGTGCATCTTAAAAGATGTTTATAATAAGAAATATGATAACTTGTCTGTTCCGTTTAGCCGTTCTGTTTAGTTATCAAGAAACAACTATTATATAAAAATTCTGCTTCCTCGTTAGACTACCCCCAGGATAACTGCTTGATTTACAGAGATCTTAAGGTATTTAAGCTAGTGTTTTTTACATGTTGTAATGTACAATAAGATCTAATTCACTGCATTTATAAACATCTTTCTTTTTTAAGTTGTAACACATGTATTGGGCTCAATGGAAGGTTATACAAAATACTTTTGATTCCTCCTTTGCAATTGATACAGTGAAGCAGACAATAAACATCATGTCAAGCTTGACTACTCTACAAGAGGATCTTTTTAACTAAGTTCCAACAGCATTTTTTTCCAATCCATTGCAAATACACAATAGGTTCTTCTACCACTTCACATCAATCTTGGTGTAATGAAAAAATATTGTGAAAGTTCTACAGACAGATAGCTCAGCTATTACTTACCTGAAAAACGAGTTTCCACATATCATTGAAGCCGAGCTGAGTGCTGATATTTTTGGTTTTATTGTTGCTCCTGTAACTTTTAAAAAAAATAGATAGGATATAAAAGAAAAAACAGGACCTAAACAAACAAAATAAATACTTAAAAATATCAACCATGGACACAGAAGGAAAAAAATTATTTACAGACCTGTGTTATATTATTAGCACATATACATAATACCTTTGTATTTTAATTTTTGGAAAAGATGGTTGTTCAATTTCAAAAACCACTTTTCTTTGAAGCTCTTTTCGTAATTTGAAATAATTTTTATCTCTTGCAACCTGTTGGTAGGACCCTTTCCCATCTTCCTCCCATAAATCAAGAGTAATAATAAACTTGAATAAGTAACTTTCAACATCCTTAATTTGTGAATCAACCTAATTGAAATTGAACAAGTTATATAATATAAGTATTATATAAAAAAATGTCAACACAAAAATATTATATTTGTCTTTTGTCATATCATTATTGGGTTATGCCATTTAATCATCTATGCTTTATTTTTAGCATAGTAATACTAAATGTTAACTGCAGGCTTGGACAGTGTGCAATGGCAAGCTGTAACTGACCACACTTATAATTTTTTTTCTTTAAAATTTGACCACAGCGGTTTTGATGTTTTAAGAGTTTAAATGCTATAAAAAAAAAATTACGTTATGAATAACTTTTAATCATTGATCTTTTCTAAAGTTTTTATTTTATGCAAAGGCTTTAATGAAAATAAAAAATGAAATATAGTGATTGTTCAAAATAAACGCATTTTTTTGTAAATTAACAAACCATGTTATATTTATTTTAGTTTTATGTAGGCGTGTATTTTTTATGATAAATTTAAACGTTTGAAACTATTTTTCCATGGCTTTTTAGAAATCTTTTGAAAGATAATTTTCTAAGTTACCATAAAATGAGGAGACTTTGGCATGGTATGTGACTTAGGCTAATTTATAAAAAATATTTTTAATCTTTAAAAACCACTTTTTTTGTGACTTCTTCCAAATTTAAGTTTATCACAAAAGTGAAGTTATTCTGTTTTTTTATTACTTAGATTGATTGTATTTGCACTATTGATATAACTTTGTTTGTTTATTATTAGAGTCTATGAAAATTGTTAAATTTATATGCTGCAAAATTGTGAGTTGGTTGAAACTGCTGATAATATTTGAGTGGGTTGTGATGTTATAACTAATAGTAAATTTATATACAATGAGTAGTTGCCAAATTTATAACACTTCTAATTAAAATTAACTTTAAATAAAATTTATGGGGTGGCTATGCCCACATCTTGAGGTGACTTTAACCTAAGTGAAAAAATGTAATTATTTGATTTTCAATATTATATTTTTGATTTATTTTTCAGAAATATAGCTATAATTTTATTGGTTTAATTTTTAATTTTTGTTTTTAGGACAAAATACTAATTAAAAATCATATTTATATCAAAGAAAACATACCAAGAACATATAAACATGTTGCTGGGAGTCATAGTTATATTCCACACACCCAGGAAACATTAACAAAATGTTTAAAAGAAGTAAGAAGTGGTAATTTAACACAAACAGATGCTTGTTTAACCTTTAAAATTCCTCTATCAACAATATAAAATAAACTAAAAGGTAGACATAATAAAAAACCAGGCGGTCGCACAATATTTAGTGAAATTGAAGAAGAAATTTTTGCAAACTATATTATAACTATGTCTTCTTTTGGATTCTTAGTTGACTGTTATGATTTAGGAAGTATTGTGGCAGACCATAAGAAATGTTTATTAGGTAATTTGCAGGAAATATGCCTGGTAAAATCATTCCTAAAGAGAAATAAACAATTAAGTGTTAGATTTGCAAGTATCATTAAAAGAAAGAGGGCAGAAGTAGGTACTGTTATTACTATTAACTTTTTTGATAATATCACTACTGAATTGGCATCAAACATTTGGAATTACGATGAAACTAACTTAACTGATGACCCTGGTAATAAACTAGTAATAACAAAGCGATGATCCAAAATATCCTGAGAGGATAATTAATTCAACAAAGTTGAATTAATTATCTCCTACATCTTCGATGTATTGTGGTAATGCAGAAGGGTATATCATTTCTCCATATACTGTATATAAAGCAGATTGGATTTGGACAACTTGGACAGAAAATTGACTTAAAGGAGCTTCTTATCTGAACTAAAAAAAACCTCTGGAAAACATGTTCTAATTGGAGACAATTTGTGGTCACATATAAATACATATAAATACTGTCTTTGTGTGAAAAAAACAACATCAAGTTTATTGCTCTCACTTTTAACTCCATGCATTTGGACGTTGCCATTGGATGTTGCATATTTTCGACCAATGAAAGCTCAGTAGAGAAAAATATTAACAACTTGGAAGGAAATTGGCAAAGAAGGTAAAGCTCCTTCCCTTCCAAAAAGATCAATTTCCAGCATTGCTTAAATGTCTCATGAAAAAAATTGAAGAACCTGGTTGTAAAAGTATGAAGGCAGGCTTCAAAAAAATTGGATTATACCCACTCAATCAAAAAGAAGTGCTAGATAGACTTCCTAAAAGAACATTTACAAACGAAAATGTGACTCTAGAAATAGGTTCTCTTGTCAGTGATTCTTTCATACAACATTTAGTTGAAGCTAGAGATGATGACCATATAACCCCTAATAAAAAGCAACATAAAGTCTCTGTTGTCACAACAAAAAGTGTTTCATCAATTGATGTAATTAATATGCAAGCATCTATAAATACAAACAAAGAAAAAAATGTTTGCTGTAAAAAAAACCAAGGTATCCACTCTTGAACAGTAAAAATTATAGATAATCTATTGAATAACTCTCTGATAGTTTGATAACTGATGCATAATTATTTTGAGTTTTCTTGTGTGTGATGCATAATTATTTTAGGTTTTCTTTGTGATTTCTTAATTAAATTTGTAAGTTAGTCTTAAGATGTTGTTCTTAATACTTTTTTGCATTAAAAACACATCACCTAATATTCATGTATCTATGAATATGTAAAATACTAAATGAATAATCAATAAATATAATTTGCTTTTAGGTTGCCAAAGTCTATACCATCACTATAGAGGTGACTTTAACTCAACGTTAAATTTAAAAAAAAAGGATCAAAGATATAATTATTTTTTATTTTATTTTAATCATCTATTTCTTTGACATCATGTACACTTAATGCAATTTGTATCAACATATTAATTATTCATGACTAAATTTAAAAAAAAAAAAAATTATAAATTTGGTTTAAGTCACCTCATTTTACGGTACTTTAAATTATGAATAAGTTAAATTAAGTCTTCTGATGCAATGGAATGATTTAATTGCTTTATTTTTTTTGATTTTTTTTTTGATTTTCACAAATAATGGCTGAAAAACTTTTTTTTTACTGACTAATTAATCAGAGCATGAAATTAACAAAAATTACTATTTCAAATAGACTACGGTATATTAATATTTTAAACAATTTTTTTTTTGAAACATTTTAAATGCTCATACAATTTATATAAATAATACAAATAGCACTTTTTAATAATTTAAATAACATTTGTTTATTCATAAAATCATTAGAAGTAATTAGCGTAACTTTAATAAAACGTTTAAAGTTATGTTTTAAAGTAATTTATTTTAAACAGAATTAAAAACATTATTTTCGTTTCGAGTTTGAGTTTTTTGATTATTTTTTTTAGTGCTTATATATTTTCATTTTCTTAAGAAATTGTTTTCTTTTTTAATTTTTTTTTTTTCCAACTTTCTTTCTAGTATAAGTTTAGCTTTTCTTTTTTCAACGAATTTCTAAAATATTTATAAATCATCTAAACAGCCATGGTCAAGTTGTCAAAAAAATAAAATCATTTGCGTGGTCACCAAGCCTGTAACTGTAAGTAAAAAATTAGAATTTGCTTATAAAATTCATCATACCATCTCTGAATTCTTTACAGTTTCTAGTGCTTCATTCAACTTTTCAACCTATGCAATATACATATATATAGCTTACTCAGTAATGTATATGATTTAAAATAGAAGTAAAATATTTTTAAAAAAATACTTACGTAAAAGTACAAGTACACATTTAAAAATACACAAAAATACTACTAAAAATAAAAATACACAAAAATACTACTCAATTACAGTAATGCAAGTAAATGTAATTCGTTACTTTCTATCTCTGATATATATATATATATATATATATATATATATATATATATATATATATATATATATATATATATATATATATATGTATATATATATATATATATATATATATATATATATATATATATATATATATATATATATATATATATATATATATATATATATATATATATATATATATATATATATACACAGCAGCAGGCTGTATATATATACAGCCTGCAAAATTCAAAGGATTTTAGCTCAGCACAAACTGTGTCGTACTTAGCTAACTTCAGGTCGGCAAAATATTTATATGGATTTTATACTTACTGCTACAAAAGGGGTAATGATTAATTGATTATGAAAATATTGCTTTACAAAAGCATAGCTAAAGACAATATTTTAAAGAATGTAGCAATTAAACTTTGTGCAAGCATGTAGCAAATTTATGAATTTTTGGTTCGAAGTTGTTTTTAAACAAACAAAAAAATTAAATAACAGAATAAATTAATACTAAATTTTAAAGCTTAATAAAATAACAATTGTGCTAAAACTTCAAGTAAAAACAGAACAACAAGCATTTAAAAAGTAACTTTTTATTATCTTTTAAATGAATAACCTTGCTATGCTTGAATAAATTTGAGAAAAAATGAATTGTAAAAAAATAAATGAATTTTTTTAAAAAAAAAACCTGTCAAACTTAAAAAAACAAAAAATTACAATAAATAAGTTATGAACTTATAGTGAACAAATATTACATAATTTTTACATATATTTATTTTTGCATGTCGACATTTCAATAAGTTCAGGTCGGCAGATGTATGTCATTGTGAAGCAAAGTTATGTCAGCTTTTGCGCCGACATTGCTGAATTCCGAATTTCTATTACTTTCTATCAATGAAATAGCTTTTGATAAGTACTTTTTAATCAAACCTAACAATAAAGCAACATTTTTAAAGTCTTGTTGAAGTTTATCTCTCTCTTTTCTATTAACTCACAACATTCTGTTTAAATTAGAATGCCGGTTTTTGCTTTTTATAAAGAATGAATGAAAGTTTTGAAGTTTCTTTGAACATTTTTACAAAATTAAATTATAAACTTTTTTTTATTTAATATCGTCAAAACATTTGTTAAAAACGCCTTCTTTAAATAATATAATAAAATTTTAAAATAGAAATAAAATATACTAAATATTATATACTAAATATACTATAAATATTATGTTTTAATAGCGGACTTTGCATTTTACATGGATTTTAAATTTACCAAAATATGCATTTTTTTAAGTATTATTATCTAGTCAAATATATAGAAAATTTTATAAAAATAAAATAAAAATGAATAATTGTACTATGTATAATAATTTAAAAACAAGTACAACTGTATAAAGAAAAAAAAATGTTATAGAAGAAATTAAAGAAAAAAATATTTATAGAAATAAAACAAACAATAGAGACACTAGTATTTTTGATAAAATAAGATAGATATATTTTGGGAGATTTAATTTTAGTTTAAAATATATGCAACTGATTTTTTTTTGAATAATATATGTATATTAGGATTTAATAAAATCATATCAATAAAGTCATGGATGCAGACTTTAGTTTAAGGAAGAGGTTGAAATTGAAGAAAAAAATTTTATTTTATGCTAATTTCAAATATAAATAACTTATGCAAATATACAATAATAAAAAAATTATTACTATTTCAAATTAAACTCTTCACTATAACATTTTTTTTTCAAATCTATACATATGTGCATATAGTTTTAAATTTATACACAAATGAAAAAAAGTTGTATTTTAGCAAGAAATTGATCACTCTTAGATACGGTTATTGACTTTTCTTTCAAGAAAAAATATGAAACCTATATATTTATTAATAACCTGAATAATGTTGTGTTTAAAAATAATAATAAAAAATGGTGGGTGCTTCTGTGCACTGGTTTAAATTTTAAAAAATAAATAATAGGTGGCATAAAAACTTAAACTTTTTGTCCAACTTTTACATGGAATCATTATTATTCAAGTCAACATAAAAAACTTGAGTGTAAAAATGATTGCATTAAGACAAAATTAGTTTCACACTATTTTATATTATAAATATTTTGGAAACAATAAAAAAAACAAATCAAAGTATTTTGTATGGTACAACTTTGTATATTATATTTGTATTGTATATTATATTTGTATTGTATATACAGATTGGTATTTGTATAGTACAATTTTGGTTAGTATATTATACTGTGATATTTTACATAGGTTCCTTGATCATCAATTTGATGTGTCAACATTATTTAAAGTTGAAAGTTTTAGGATCTTATTAACTTGAAATTTAAATTTTTTAGGATCTTATTAACTTTTGATTTTTAAACTGATTGTTAAAAAATCAGAACTTTCATTAAAAATAGAAAACTGATGTTTATTTTTAAAATTTAAATTTATTAAAAAAACCTTTAGCAGACAACTCTAAATAAAGACAACTATCCCATTAATTCAAGAAAAAGAATTGTTCTACTTACTATTTCAAATATTTGAAAAGCTTTTAGATATAACAACTTCCTTACTTTTAATTAGTTGAATAGATTGTAATAATCTTAGACATTGTTATTTTTTCCAAAATTAAGAAGATGAATGTTAGCTTTTTTTTAAACTAAGAATAGCTGTCACCTTAGTATTTTTGGTTGTATTGTACAACAATGGTTGTAGATTAATTTTGTCAAACTTTATTTGTCAAACCATAAAGTAATTACTATTTTTATTTGAAGACAATTTTTTTTAGGTAAGAGAATTATTGCTCAACATTGATCGATAAATCATTATTCAAACTGTATTTAGCAACCTAGTATAGTATTTTTTAATCTTTTATACTAATTTCTCTCTTTCATATTTAAATAAATAATAAAATGTGAATAGTGAATACTATAAATATATTTTTTATATTGTGGCACGTGAAACTATCAACAAAAGTTTATGTCAAATACTACCCAATGCATAACATATATTATTATTAAAACAACAATTATCTAATGACAAAAAAATTTCATATCGTATACCTAACATGGCTAAAACAAGGACAGTAAAATATAATAAAAATATGTATGTAATTGATATGTAATTTTGTGAAGAAAAAAACATGACTATATTTTAATTTATTATTGTATCAAAATTTTCAACCTCATTTTGATCTTCACATTGGAAAACATGACATCTAAAACTTGGGTCATCAATACCATAAGCAATATTAGTTGCAAAACAAAAGTTTTGCTTATCTTTTCCCCATTTACAAATGCTATCAATATTATATCTTTCGATTAAGGTTTCATTATTTTCATCAAACCAACAAAACTCATCTGGACGAATGCAGAGCATAATTTTGGCAGTTGCTGAATTACTTTTCAAAAGTAAAGTCATTGTTTTTAAAATTTCATTGGTACTTAAAGGATCACTGATTGTTGCAGAACCTAAATACAGCACTGGATATAGAACATCAGAACTATTTTTTCTTTCATTATGAGAGCTTTCTGCATAATCAGTAACATAATCATCCATTTGAGCTTCAGCAATAAGTTGGCTTATTCTTTCAGAACTATCTGTTCTATCAAGTTTTGGTTCTACTTCACATTGATCATTATTTAAATTATTTTTAATTGTTTTATTGTTAATTGAAACATTGTCAACGTTGTCAACAAATAAATACTCTCTACTATCATGACTTAAGGTTGAAGCTTTTTCCCCATTACTTTCATAACCATTTTTACTGTCTCCATTGCTCATAATTCACTAAACACCTAAAATAAAAAAGTTACTATCATTATTAATAACACAATTATTATTATTATTATTATTATTATTATTATTATTATTATTATTATTATTAGTAGTAGTAGTAGTAGTAGTAGTAGTAGTAGTAGTAGTAGTAGTAGTAGTAGTAGTAGTAGTAGTAGTAGTAGTAGTAGTAGTAGTAGTAGTAGTAGTAGTAGTAGTAGTAGTAGTAGTAGTAGTAGTAGTAGTAGTAGTAGAGGTAGTAGTAGTAGTAATATTATTGTTATTATTGTTATTATTGTTATTACAGTTATTATTATTATTACTATTGTTGTATTATTGTTGTTGTTGTTGTTGCTGTTGTTGTTGTTGTTGTTGTTGTTGTTGTTGTTGTTACTGTTTTATTATTATCATTATATATATCCAAATATAACATAATATTATATCCAAATGTAACATGACATTTAGATAATAATTGCATATAAAAATGATTTGATTCCTTCTAAAAAAAGTTTTTTAAAATATTCTTTTAATAGCTATCTAAATAACATTTATCTATTCTAAATATTTAAATGATAACTAACAAAAAACTTCTTTTATGAATTCAAACTTTAATAGTAAATGATTTTTTTTATATTTCAAGAGAGTATACCCTCGTTATCAAGTATGATATATAAAAAAACCCTTAAAAACAAAATTATTAATTATAACATCAGTTTGAATATATATTCATAATGAATACTCGATAACAAAGTATACTCTTTTTTAATATGGCAAAAAAAACATAATATTATAAATATGAATATAAAAAAAAAACTATGATCAAAATAATATAAACTTCATATTAATATCAAATAAAGTTTTGCAACTCAACATTGTACTCTATAGAAATAACTATTACAAAGTGAACAATAGCATATTAAAGCTTTTATTCATATCAATTAAAAGTAAATATTAATAAATAATTAATAAAAAAAAAGTGACTTATTTTTGTCACTTTTATTTTCTTTAAAGTACAAGCGTTTGTTTTAGTTAACAGCCGTGAAAAGTGTAATATGTAATAGCCGTGAAAAGTGTTTACTTAGATTTTTGTTTCTTCTCGGACGCATATACGAAAAAAATCAAAAGCTTTTATAACATGGGGGTGTTCTGCTGCTACTTAAAGTTAGTTTATTTTGATTTCCAAAAGATCCATTTTATTTTTTTATTGTTATTCGGCTTTTTTTTAATATTTTAAACAAAGCAATAAAGCAGAGCTCGCAAAATGTTTTCAGCGATCTTTAAAAACTCAACAATTTAAACACTTAAATTTATCTTTTAACAAGGTCTTTTTAATGATTTAAAAATCTAAATTTTTATTTGCTGTAAAATTTACAAATAATTAATCAAAAAATGTAAATACATTAAAACATATTTAAAAATAAAATAAAATGCCATTTTAAGAAATCTCAATTCAATAAATTGGTCAATAAATGTGACAGCACGTCATATTTATTGACTAATTTATTGAATAAAATATGTCGTTGAAGTCAAACGCATAAAGCAACTTACTTCACCCGGTTACGGTCTGTTTTGGAAACGATTATAAAAAAGAACTTTTGCTGGTATTTTGATAAAAACAATTGAAGAAATAGCATTTTTTGTTGACTTTTTCTCTGAATATAAATAAGGTGCAGTAATAATAAATTGTCACAAAAGTAAAACTTTTGTGACAATTGTTGACACGGGGAATCGGGAGAGGTCAATTAAAGTTGACGTCAACAATTTTTTTTTTTTTTTAGTTTCATTGCTTAAATAACGGAAAATTAGGCTGAGTTTGTAGCGTAGATTCTTTGAATAGGGGAGGGGGGTAATCTAAAGTTGAAGTAATTTTATAGGGGAAAAGATCTCTGGAAATTTGACAAATTGTTGACAAGGGGGAGGGGGAGGTAAAAATTTCAAAAAATTTGTTGACGTAATTATGGACAGCCCCTAAATCATTTTTTTACAACTGCAAGAAAACGTATGTAAATTAAAAGAGAAATATTAAACAACGAATGAAACAATCAGACACAACTTCTTTACAAATAGAATATGTAATAGAGAGTTTAAGCATACATCCCAGTGGGCACGGAAGTAAAAAAGACGTCTTTTAAACGTTTAAAATACGTCCAAAACGTTCAAAAGACGTTCAGAAAACGTCTAAAACGTGTATAAGACGTTTAAAAGACGTCCTTTTTTACTTCCGTGCCCACTGGGATTAAGTTAACATACACAAGTTAACATTTTTCATGCTTAACGTTGCATACACCCGTTATCCCCGGGCAGTGTTAGTACATAAGCTAGCAAGTTTGCTACCACGGCAAATTTAAAAAACGTTATAACGTTTTTTAAATTTGCCGGGGTAGCAAACTTCTAGCTTATGTACTAACACTGCTTGTGTACTAACACCGCAAGTGTTGAAAGTTTTTCATGCTTAATGTTATCATAACGTTAACATTTTTCATGCTTAACGTTACATACACCCGTTATCTCCAAGCAGTGTTAGTACATAAGCTAGCAAGTTTGCTACCACGGCAAATTTAAAAAACGTTATAACGTTTTTTAAATTTGCCGGGGTAGCAAACTTCTAGCTTATGTACTAACACTGCTTGGAGATAACGGGTGTATGTAACGTTAAGCATGAAAAATGTTAACGTTATGATAACATTAAGCATGAAAAACTTTCAACACTTGCGTTTCAAGTCGTTAATTTTCATGACTTATTTTCAAGTTAAAAGTATTTCCAAAAACAATTCCAAGAACAATTCCAAAAAAATCTACTCTTTAAACAATCAAAGCAATCTTACTAAAAAATATGCATCAAAGTTTACTTTAAATTTAAAGATGACATTTGGAGTTAGAGAGATGTTAACCTCAAAAATAGCAAATCAGTGTTGTTAGTTGACCTTGATCTTGACCTTGGCCTCGGCCTTGCCATAAGGCAAAAAACTAAGGCCTTACCCTTAATCTTGGTCTTGAAAACTTTGGTCTTGGCCTTCAAAAAAAAATACATAAAAATCAAGATATGTGACCTTTGCTCTTGCTACTTTTGGTCTTGTTAAAAACTCTGAAGCAAATCATTCAAAACAAAATTATGAGTTTTAAATCATTAATTATTCATGTCACGTACGTTTTTAAGCAGCGGTAAGAAAATGAGATTTCTAGCGTACGTTTTAAACGCGATGCGTTAGAAAAGAATTTTCCTTAAGACTATCATTAATTATTTACGAGAAATTCTTTTGTATTCCTACCACTCCCTCGACATAAAGTTTGTATGCTTTAAACTCTCTAATAATTTCTGCTAGATGCAGTAAATTCAGATTTATTTAATTCTTTTAAAAAATAATATCAACTCAATATTTAAATATAGGAAACAATTAAAATGATGAAAAACTAAATAAACATGATTGAAAAGCGCATAATATTTATACCTTTAGTATTGAACCATTTTGCTTTGTAAAAAACAATCTACATAGTTTCAGTCTTAACGCAGTTAACTATAATACCATACCTATATATCGATGGTAATGATACTTGAGGCATAATAATTAATAGAATAATTAATAAAAATGATAATAATTAAATGGCATTAATAGAATACTTGAGGCATAAATTAACATATAAGACTAACTCAGCACCATTTTTTTTCTCTTATGTTAGACCCTACGCAAGATATTTCCAAAATAGAACAATTTTTTTTTTTTTCATTTTGGTACATATTTTTACATTTTTTACATTTTGTTTACATTTTGTTTACATTCTTTAACATTTTGTTTACATTTTTTGTCTTGTTTACAAAAATAAACAAACAAAGCTTCTAAAGGAAGATCATAATGATCTTATCATCACCTTTTACAAATTTTTTACATCAATGCATAAAAAAGACTAAAAAATTATAATAAATCGTGATATAAATTGAAAGTATAAATTAAATCACTAATGCTAAATATAATTAAAAAGCTGGATCTTATCGAATAAGTGTTGTGTTAAGATACACCCTCGTCGTTCGTGATTAAATCAAAAACCAATTAATTTTGAAACAAATGAAACAAATTTAGGGTTTTTTAAACTGGAATGTAATTCCAGAAGAAAAAAATAAATAATTTAAGATCAATGGTTAAAAATGATAAATGAAATGAATATTGCTATGGAAAAAATTATGGTCAGGTCTATAATAAAACCTCCTTAAGGAGCATATGATGGGTATATTTTTAGTAAATGCATATGTAGTTAATGTAGAGTATTGGAGTTATTGATTGATTAAGTAAAACTGTTTCATTTAGAGAAGTTGATCGTGGTGAGATGACGAGATTATTACAGAACTATTGGTTTAAATTATAAAATAAACGGTTATCTTATGAAAAATGCTTAAACAATGATATTCTAACTTTCTTATTTTACGATTTGTAAATGACATGTGTTTATTTTCAAAACATAAAAAACAATAGGAAAAATTAAACTTGTTTTTAATTACAGTGGTTATCCATGACTTAGTAGAAGTCGAGTTGAACTACCACAGTTGTTACAAATTGCTGTTTCATGTGGTGATTTATTTTTGTTTTTATGCCTTATTTTTTAAACAATGTTTTAACTTAATCTCAGGGATAGTTAGATTCAGAGATAAAGCTTTTGTTTCTCCTTAGAATCTAGTAAAGCTGTTAAGCAAAATATTGGTAACAATTATTTAATGAAAAAATCAATCTATGCAAATTTATTTTATAATACAAACTTTTGAATAAAAACATGCGGCATCAGTTTAGTGAGTGTACTAAGAATAGCTAATGTTTGTGGTAAGCTGGTAAAATAGCAGGTAATAAAACAAACAAAAAAAATCTAAATCTCAATTGCGATTAAAGATTTGTAAATCTTGAGATGATTTATCAGTAGAATCTTTTAAATAAAATGTTTTTATGGCAAAACCCAATATAAAAAAATTTCCTAACGAGGTATTTTTCTACACAGGCCCGGAACGAGTAGGTCTCTTGTGAAGGAGGGGGAGGGGGCATTTAAATT